CACTCAGGTTCCAACATCTGCCACCTCCTCGGTCACGCCAACTTCCCACCGAGTCATCACCCCAACCCAACCAGAAACCCAGTCTTCTGCAGCCTCTCAAACGCCCACGGCCAAGCCTCCTCCGTCTTCCCATGTCCCCCCGACAGCCACAGCGCCCACACCCACACCCACATCCTCACCCGTGACACTGACCACAACGCGGACCACCCAAGCCCCCACCTCGCTCAGCACGGCCAAAACCTCCCCTTCCCCCGGGTCACACCCCTCCTCCACTGCCCGCCCTGAGACCACCTCGGCCCCACACACCACCCTGTCCCCCAAGCCCGCCACCACAGGCACTGCCACCCCCCCGACACACACCGCCACGGCCACCCCCACCGCCACCGCCAGCAGGCCCCACACTCCCTTCACCACTCACTCCTCCCCACCGACCGTCTCCCTCTCCTCCACCGCCCACACCACAGGGCCGCCCACGGGGACATCCTTCCGGACCACCAGCACCTCCCCGACCCCATCACGCCCCGAGACCACTCTGCCCACTCAGGTTCCAACATCTGCCACCTCCTCGGTCACGCCAACTTCCCACCGAGTCATCACCCCAACCCAACCAGAAACCCAGTCTTCTGCAGCCTCTCAAACGCCCACGGCCACCCCTCCTCCGTCTTCCCACGTCCCCCCGACAGCCACAGCGCCCACACCCACACCCACATCCTCACCCGTGACACTGACCACAACGCGGACCACCCAAGCCCCCACCTCGCTCAGCACGGCCAAAACCTCCCCTTCCCCCGGGTCACACCCCTCCTCCACTGCCCGCCCTGAGACCACCTCGGCCCCACACACCACCCTGTCCCCCAAGCCCGCCACCACAGGCACTGCCACCCCCGCGACACACACCGCCACGGCCACCCCCACCGCCACCGCCAGCAGGCCCCACACTCCCTTCACCACTCACTCCTCCCCACCGACCGTCTCCCTCTCCTCCACCGCCCACACCACAGGGCCGCCCACGGGGACATCCTTCCGGACCACCAGCACCTCCCCGACCCCATCACGCCCCGAGACCACTCTGCCCACTCAGGTTCCAACATCTGCCACCTCCTCGGTCACGCCAACTTCCCACCGAGTCATCACCCCAACCCAACCAGAAACCCAGTCTTCTGCAGCCTCTCAAACGCCCACGGCCACCCCTCCTCCGTCTTCCCACGTCCCCCCGACAGCCACAGCGCCCACACCCACAGCCGCCCGCGTGACACTGACCACAACGCGGACCACCCAAGCCCCCACCTCGCTCAGCACGGCCAAAACCTCCCCTTCCCCCGGGTCACACCCCTCCTCCACTGCCCGCCCTGAGACCACCTCGGCCCCACACACCACCCTGTCCCCCAAGCCCGCCACCACAGGCACTGCCACCCCCGCGACACACACCGCCACGGCCACCCCCACCGCCACCGCCAGCAGGCCCCACACTCCCTTCACCACTCACTCCTCCCCACCGACCGTCTCCCTCTCCTCCACCGCCCACACCACAGGGCCGCCCACGGGGACATCCTTCCGGACCACCAGCACCTCCCCGACCCCATCACGCCCCGAGACCACTCTGCCCACTCAGGTTCCCACATCTGCCACCTCCTCGGTCACGCCAACTTCCCACCGAGTCATCACCCCAACCCAACCAGAAACCCAGTTTTCTAGTTCTGTTCCACCTCCATTCAGTCCTACTTTTCATGTGTCTTCTCTGTCCTCCACACCAACTCTCCATGTCTCTACCCATCCCCCTGTTGTGTCCACTTCTACTACCACAGCCCCTTTGCCGACACCCATGTTCACACCTAGTACCCACTTCCCCTCCACCTTGTCTTCTCTTTCTACCACTGCACAGTCTACCTCTCTCACCACGCAACCTCCCACTGCTCCCCTCATGTCATCCACTCTGGGAGTTACACCCATCCCGAGTTCCCCAGCCACCAACCTCACCACTCGACAGCTCAGTACCAGTAGCCTGCTGAGTACTGTCTTCCTGACCAGCTCTTTCACTGTGCATGGAAGCTCTTCCTTTCCCACTGAGGCGTCCTTCTCCACCAGGGCCCCTTCCGTCTCTTCTCTCATCACATCTCCACCCATCTCTCCCGGTAAGTGACATCACTGTATCTCATCATTGTAATCCTTGCTGCACAGCTTCCTCCTTTCCTTGCCTCTCCACCTTTGGCAGTACTCAGGGACGTTTCCTGATGAATATCTGGGCCCTTCACCACCTCTCAGCCTCTGTTCCAATCACACCCTTCCCCACTCTCAGAGACTCACCCAGTCATCATGGTGGGAATGTCTCCTTTCCTCTACCTATTGCATTCCCTTCTCCTGCATACAGCAGAGCAAGGCAGGGTGCTGCACACAGATTGGAGTTACACACACCCAGGCTGGAGCTCCAGTTTTGCCTCTACCAGCCATCCCCTGTGTCACTCTAGGTCTCAGAGCTTTGGTGTCCTCAGCTGTGCCTTGAGGGTATCTGGGAAGGACATCGCCCCACCAGTAGGCAGTGGCTGTCTGAGTCCTGCCTCCTCCCCTCGCTCCCTCCCCTCTTTTGGCTCATCCTGTTCTGTGTGTTGCCTCACGTCCTCGGGGCCTGTTCCCAATCCTCCTCAACTGAGCTCTGGTGCCTTTCTCCCCTTCTCTCCGGGCACCTCTCCAGCCATCCCCAGTCTGGCCGAAGGAAGCGACTGGCCTCCCCCAGGAGGTCCCCTTTCCCATTTCTGCGCCTCTATGTCTGTCTTGCACTGGGATCACTCATGATTCATCTCCTCCCCTTCATGTTCCCCACTGCAGTCCTGGCCTCCCTTCAAGGTGCCGTCAGCAGTCTCCCATGGCTGCGATCTCCAGAACTCAGGAGAGCTTACAGCTATCAGGGACCCTGGGGTTCAACTACTCCAACCATCCCCCAGGGTGCAGAAATGAAAACAAAGGCATGAATGTGCCTCTCACCTTGGGTGACTGCTGGGGGCCGAGTGGCAACTAGCGGCCAGGGCTCCAGCCTTCTAGCATCAGTGCTGGCCCAGATCTCAGTGCTACAGCCTCCTCCAGCTCTGTTCTGCCCTCCTGTGCCCAGGCCTGCCGGAGCCCATCGTGTTCTCCAGTGACGCCCCTCCCCCTGCTTTTGGGTATTCCCTCCAAGGCATCCGTCCTCCCCTCACACATCCCTCGTCTTCCCCTAGGCAGGTCTGTCTGCAATGACGTTTTCTCCTGTGAGACAAGGACTTGGTGCAGGCTGTGCATGGGGAGGGGACCCCAGTAAGCAGGGTGAGGGAGCAGGAGCAGAAGATCAGGAGGGGAGGACAGCTGAGGGCAATGTTCCAGGGTGATGCACCCAAAGCCCTATCCCCACCAGTCCTCTCATCCCCATGTCCAGCAGAGAAGGCAGATGGGTGCTCAAGTCCACGGGGAAGCCTTGACCGTGGGCAGGGTGGGCAAAGCAGGGTAGACTGTCCAGTCTTCGCTCAGGAACCTCTTCGAGCTTTTTCACTCAAGTTCCGCACTGGCAGTTTCTATGTTAACACTGCTCTGCCAGCTGCCAAGGTGCCCGAGGCATCTGGCGAACATTGCCCACTGGGATAGACACAGGCCAGAACTCACAGCTGGGTCAGCACTCCTCCCCCTCTGTGAGCACAAGCCCCTGCAGGGAGCTCCCGTGATGCCATCTGTCCCCCCTGGGGACACTGACATCCTCCTGCAGGTTCTCGGCCCAACAGACCAGTGGTAACTACACCCAAAGGTTGGTGTTAGGCCAAGAAGGGAGGTGACTGGGGAGGCTGGGGGCCAAGAGTGGGTCACATGGGCCCATTGCTGGCAATCTGCCTTGTCCTCCGAGAAAACCCTTGACCTTGGAGACTCCCAGTATAGCCAACTTTCAGGAGGCAAACACAGAATGAGAGCTCATCAGGCTTTGTTCCCATGCAAAGCTGTGAGGTCTAAGCTCAGAAGGGCTCGGACATGGGGAGACTGATGGGGCAGGAAGACAGCCTGGGGCAGGGGCCCAGGGAAGACGCCACTGGAGGCACCGCACATGGGACCCCAGGCTCATCTAAGCAGTTACTCAGCTGACGGCTACACCTTCTTCGTTTCACTGAGCTGGCATTGCTCACTATTTCACACAGAAGTTTGAGAAACCCCAGGCCCAGTGCCAGCTGTCTGAGGTCCTACCCTCCTAGGGTCCAGTGCAGAGCATCCAAAGGCCACACCTGCCCTCCAGCCATACCCTGGGGCTGGCACTAACCACCCACCTCTTGGCTCCCAGGAGTCTGCAGCGTGAGGGAGCTCGAGGAGGAGGTCACTTACCAGGGATGCAAAGCCAACGTGACAGTGACCCGCTGCGAGGGCTTCTGTGCCTCCTCGGCCAGGTGAGCTGTCAGCCCCAGGTAGCCTCCGCCTGGGGCTGAGCCCTGAGCTTGGAACCTGCCCTGTCCAACATAGGCAGCACCAAGTGGGAGCTGGAGCAGATCCACCAGAGAAGTAGTCCCACCCCTTGCCCCGCCCCCAACTACGGGGAGGCCAGCAGCAGGAGATCACACCCTGAGGGGCCCACCTGAGATCTCAGTGTCCACCTTTCTTTGGACTGACCAGGGAGGAGCGGGAACACTCCCGAAGGCGACAGCCCTGACCCATACTCCCTGTCATGGCTTCTTTGCAGCTTCAACACTGACACCAAGCAAGTGGACACGCACTGTAGCTGCTGCCATCCCGTTGGCTCCTATGAGAAGCAGGTGGTGCTGCCCTGCCCAGATCCTGGAGCGCAGGGACAGCAGCTGGTTTTCACGCTACAGGTGTTCAGCAGCTGTGCGTGCCAGCCCCAGCACTGCGAAGACTAGAGGCCCGGCCCCCAGTGGGTGTGAGGACGAAGCACTGCTCCTGACACCTCCCCCGGCCGGCAGCCCCTTTCCTGGCCATAGGCCCAGCCTCAGACACAGCTCACTGGGGCACCTGCCAGGAGAGGGGCTGCCAGACAGAAGTCCCGCAGCCCCTGACCAGGCCCAGTGGGTTACACAGGGGCACTTCCGGCCACGCCCATCGATTGTCTGCACAGCCTCCAGGCTTTGAGGGCAGCTGCCCGAACCGAACCCTGGAGATGGCCCAAGGAGCAGATGCCAGGGTGAGGGTGGCCAGGAAGGTCACTCCACAGGGAGCACCTTGGGGAGGTGCGGACGGGTCATGAGGCTGGCAGCACCAGGCAGGAATGGGCGGGGAAGAGGCATAGGTCAGCAGCAAAGACGGCAGCGAGCAGAGGAACCACACAGTCAGGGAAGGGAGAGTGACGCAGGGCCAGAGGGCAGACGCAGGTGCCGGCCAGCAGAAACACCCACTCGCCAGCCGAGCTCAGCCTGGGAAGGGGGTGTCACACCTGTGTGCACAATAAGCTCAACGTGAACAGATGACAAATAAACTAGCACTGGTCAAGCACAGAGGCTGGCCTGTGAGCTCTGCCGGCGCCGTCTCCTGCGCCTCTCAGGCATTCACAAGCCCTGGACCCATACTTGCTCCACGGGGCTGGACCGGGCGTCAGGCCAGACCAGGATGGGATGCCGCAGGCCCCAGACCCTCCCTTCCCCTCCCCCTAGAGACCCTCTTGCTCTTTCTAGGCCCACCTCCAGGGTCCCTCCCTCATCAGGACTCTCCCACGACACCCTCCATCCTGTGGGTCTCTGCACCCCGTCTGTGGTGGGGGTCACCCCCATGTGAGCTCTCATCCCTCAGATCAGGAAGGAACCCCCTGGGTCCACCTGTCCCTCAGCCTCTAGGCCTCCAGAAGACAGGACCCCAACAGACACTGAGACATGGGGAGCACTGAGGCCATGTTGAAGGCCCCACCAGGATGAGTTCCACAGGTCAACCACACAGCCCGAACCAAAGTGCAGGGCAAAAGCACGTCATTTCAGATGCACCTAAGCTTCCAGCCCTGTGACCTGGAAGAACAGTCCCACCCAGGGCAGGCACCGTGCCCATGTCATCAGTGTTCAATAGCCCACACAGCCCACAAGGCAGGGCCTTGAGTTGTACTTGAGATGCTTTTCCCTCCAAAGACAGCACACACTCTGGTCACTGTTCTAGCATTTATTTTTCTTTGGAAAGGAACATGCTTTACTGATGGATCCTCACCTAGAATGGCCCCCAGTGAAAGCCCAGCAGAGCCGCCTTGACTCTCTAGGGAGGACATCGACTGACACAGGAAACCACCACTGAGCTGGTGGTCCACATGGCAGCACCGAAGCACCACGCACTGTCTAGCAGGTTGAACAAAAGCATGACGAACATCACCTTGGTGGCACAGCCACGACATCAATCTGCAATGCCACCCTGGTACTGTCAACTGCTATGTCACCACACGCTGGCACCAGCTGCAGACTCCACAGGACACAGAGATGCCGGTGACTCAAATCAACATGGATGGCAGACCATGCACCCCAGGGGCTACACAGAATGGTGGGTGTGGGAAACTTGAGTGGGAGTGTCTGTAGCATGGCAAGGACCCCAGCCACACCATCCTGCAGTGGCACCAGCACCCAGACAGCGATTCCCTGAAGCTGCTTCCCCAGGACCCATACCGCAGCAAAGGGTGGCCCGTGCTCTTCAGTGCCCCATGTGGCTCCCCCAGGTACGTCTGAGGAGCCCAGTCCCTACTGCTAAACCAGGAGAACCGACGGAGGGCCCTGGGTCTTCCTAGGTCCCTCAACTACTGACAACACAGACATGTTTACTTAGGACAAACCTGCCAGCCTGTGCCAGTCACCCACCTGGCACATCAGCCACTAACAGAACAGAGGCCCTGGCTCAGCTCTGCTCCTGTCACAGCCACCTCAGGGTGCAGACCAGCAGCCTGGCAGCCAGCACAGGGTGACACCACGAGAGCCGAGAGACCAGAGCAGCTGCAGCGGACGGGCTACAGCTCATCCCCAGCATGGCCCCCTGCTTCCTCACCACATCCAGGCCTCCCTCCCCTACCACACAGGCCAAGGTCCACAGCACCCGAGCCTGCAGTCACGACCCAGGGCAAACCACACTGACAGGTTAAGGCCACCAAACAGGGAAGAGACCAGCTCACGTTCCGGCCCACATTTAGCCCTCCAGTCACAAACAGGAACCAGCCCCTGGCTACTACGATAACAGTGTGCTCACTTGAGCCCCAAGGACAGTGAGGTGAGATGCATAACCTCTGGAGCTTCCAGTAACCCTGCTCCCACCACACTGCAAACAGGTCTCAGACTGTCAGAGAGCATTACAAATGTTCCTTTAAGAATATGGTGCAAGGAGAAGGAGAACAGGACACATCTCGCCAGGACACATGGTGGTGCTGAGAGTCATTAAAAACACAAATGTTCCTAACTTCCGCATTAGGAACACTGCCGGCCAATGCTGCAGCAAGCCCACAGGCGCCATGCTCATGCTCCCAGGGCTGGGGATGGCACCCAGGCTACATGTGGACGCACCTCACCAGCCCACGAGCTACATCACACGCCTCCTGCACCTAGCCTCACCCACCAAAACAGCCAAACGCCCTAGTTAAAATCTAGCTCTACTACAGGAAAATGCTGCTGCTTCTCTCAGAAAATCAGAGATGAACTATCAGCAATAAAGCAGTGGTGTTTCAACAAAATTTCAAAAAAATTTCCATTTTCATTCAAACTTCTAATTTCCCTTTAATTTGTAGATTTAACCACAGAACTGTCTTGATTTCTATAAAAACTGATCCCAGGATCCAGGCTCCCTCCTTCTGACTTGGCAGGCCGGCTGCAGTCCAGGCTCGGGCTCTTCTTCTGAAACTGCGCGCCTGTGTTCCCGTCCATCCCCAGGAGGGCCAAGGGCTGGAGAAGCAGGGCTGGGAGGTGCTGTGCTGCGACAGCAGACGGGGGTATTTATTTGCAGCATGGTAATGAAGACAAATGGTAGAGATGAAGAAAAATGCACAGACACACGAGCCTGATACTCCACCCTTGTGGATTAAAACTGTTCTGACAGCAATTCACACAGTCTCTGAGAGACGGTTTCCTTGCTTGTCCGCAGTGTGAGTCGGTACATCTGAAATGGAGAACACAGCAGGTCAGTGGCCACACCGGGGCTTATGCGGCCCTGGGCAGAGAGCCTGGGCAGAGAGCCTGGGCAGCAGACGGCCTTGGGGCCAGGCCCCGCCCAGCAGCCCCTCAACCTCCCTCTGTTCAGCCTCTCTCTGGAGGCGCCCACTGTTTTACAAAGACTCAAGCATCAAACAGGCTTTCAGCAACTAAAGTAAAAAAGTTTGATGATAACGAGGGCCTGTGCACATGTAGAGCAACTGGAACTTTCATACGCTATTGGTATAAAATTGTGCAGCCGGTCTGGAAAACAATGCGGCAGTTTCTTGCAAAGTTAACTGCGCACATACCCTACGAGCCAGCAATTCCACCCTGCGTATTACCAAGTGAAATGTAAACACATGTCTGTACAAAGGCACATCCAAGAATATCTGTAGCAGCTCTATTCAAAACAGCCCCAAACTGGGACAGCCCAGATGTCCATCAACAGGAGGACTGGGTAAACCAACTGGGGCGCATCCCTGTGAAAGAGTGCCGCATGGCCAGCACGAGGGCCCACTGGGGACACATGCAGCAACCTGGCTGAGTCATGGAACTCAGGGTCATCGCAGCCTGATGGCGGGCCCCATGGAGGCTGCCTCTAGGGAAGGCCAGGGCAGATGGAGAGGAGGCACCAGGGAATTTTCTAGGGCAAAGGAAATGTTGTATGTATCAATAGGGTGGTGGGGGTTACATGGGAATACACATCTGTTGAAACTCATCAAACTACTGCACTTAGAATCTATGTGTCTCACTGTGTATAAATTACACCACTATAAAAAATCAGTTTAAGTGTATTTAGCCATTTCCTCAAGAGGCCTGACCTGGGCTTGCAGATTCGGCTCCAAGCGCAGTAAGCATCCAATCTGGGTGGTTTTGGTATGTATGATACCGGCTCCCACAAAATTTGCAGGGTTAGGATCGACTTCTTCAAGGAGTGCAGAACCAAACCCAATAATCTGTGCAAAAGACACAGGAGAGTTGGGACGCTGGCAGCGAGATCCAAGGACTATTCAAAGGACGGGAACACAACCGGCCTCCTCGGAGCCCGGTGGGGTGTCCTAACTCTGGGAACGTCCACAAACAGGAATCTACCTTGGCTTTGGTGATCTCCGTGTCCATTGGATGCTTTGCTTTGAAAATGTTCTGCACTTCCTGCTGAGGACTGTGAGAAACCAAGAAGAGTGTAGGGACTCTCAGCCGAGTCCGAAGCTAGGAGCCCCACCCCTCGCCCCTCCCCACTTACTTGCTCAGTTGCTTCCAACGCTGAAAGAAATCCTGAGAAGCCATTTCTGTGGGCTGGAAAAATTTGTTGAGTGTGATAGGCAGCTTAACGGACACATTCTGAAAGGTTCCCCCATACCTATGAGAACACAGAGACATGTTGAGAAGAGCACAGGGACATCCAGGAAAGCTGAAACTCAACTGGAGAGCCAAATAATTCCTAGTTTGCAAACCTCCAGGGTCGGGCGGGACTCCACTGTCTGTCAGAGGGGACTGTCCTGTCCACAAGGGCAGGATGGAGTGTTCTGGAAGAGCAGCACTGAGTCACAGAGAGGCTCTATCTCAGTGTGAAATGTCATTCACAGATAAAGACCAACAAACCAGACACGTGACACGAACTGCTCCTGTGCACGTGTTGGCAGATGGGCCCATCAACCCCAGGACAAGCCTCGGGCAGGATGTCCAACCTCGGGTCTTCTATCACCTCTTCACTTGTCCCCACCAGTCCATTTCCTACAACTCCAAGTTGGCGTAAATTGTGTAGGTTTTTTTTTCTTTTTTCCATGAAAAGATTAAAGAAAAGAGTTTGCCTACAGAATGAAACAAGAATTTGCAGGTCTATTTCCCTAAATTCTACAAAGCATACAATCTTTACTTCTCTGTTTTTAATTTGAAATGAGCTTTTAAAAAATTTAACCTTACGGGGCTGGCCCCGTGGCCGAGTGGTTAAGTCTGTGCACTCCGCTGCAGGCGGCCCAGTGTTTCGTTGGTTCGAATCCTGGGCGCGGACATGGCACTGCTCATCGGGCCACGCTGAGGCAGCGTCCCACATGCTACAGCTAGAAGGACCCACAACGAAGAATATACAACTATGTACTGGGGGGCTTTGGGGAGAAAAAGGAAAAAATAAAATCTAAAAAAAAAAAAAAAAAAAAATTAAACCTTACAAAACACCCAACAGGGAACTGATTGATCATGTATACCCCATTGTAATCACTGAAAAATAATAGTAATGAATCGAGCAGCAACACAAAACACATTTTTTAAAAAAATAATCAAGATGGTGTGCATGCTGAGTACAACTATGCAAAAATTCACACACCCAGACGAGGATCCAGAGAGACCCATCACCCTGCAGCTGACTTCCAGAGCAGCGAGCCCAGCAGTGGCATACGGGACCTGGCTGTTCCCCAGCCCCATGGGATAGATCCCTCTGTTTCTCAGCTTGAAAGGACTGACCTCAGAAAGATGGCACCACTTATCAGGAATCTCAGAGGCTGGCTCGTCCTGGTCTCACAGAGTCCTGGGCAAACCTTCTCTCCCCACATCTCCCATACTCTCCACAGCTAATACTGCAGTGTGCACAATGGGTACCAGCAGTTACCTGGGTTACTCCCTCGGTCCTCACAACACCCTCTGAAGGATGCTGAGGCTTAGTGAAGACAAACTGTTCCCAGGGACACAGCTGCGTGCAGGCCCAGCCCTCACACCACCCCAGCTCCAGGCAAGAGGGGGCCAGTAATACGATCCCCCAGCCAGCAAACTCCACGACCTGGGGCTCCTACCTGAACTGGATATTGAGGACCGGCGCCTCTGTGAAGTCAGACACGCACTCTATGTTGACAACCTGCTGCACCTGCGCGCCCCCGTCCACAGTTGGGTCCACAGGCTTGGTCTGCAGGCTCAGATGTGTACATGTCAAGGAGGCCATTTCAACAATGAGAAAGTGCGCCCGAGCCAAGCAAGCCGTTTGGTCCTAGGGCGCCCAGTAAGCCCAGGAGTGAGGGGCTCTGTAAGTCTCCTGATCTTGGATGAAACCTTTAAGACAGCTGATCCTACATACATGTATCTTTAATGACTATTTTGAAACACTTGGCTTTAATAGCCTACATTTAAAACGCATTTATCTTAAAATAAAAATGGATCTGGCCTGTGCTAAGGAGGCTACTGCTTCACATGGGTCTTCTTCAGGAAAGGTGGCAACCTTCTCTAGTCAAGCTGGGGCCTTCTGCACCCTTAGCTTACCTGGTTGGCCCATCCTTGGAGGAAGAGATATTTGATACTACAGCTGACATGAGCTGGGAAAGTTCTAATTATATTTCTGGTGTTTATTAGGGGCAAGTCTCCAGTCTGAACACAGAGCCTCTGGAAGCAAACACAAGCTCGTCCCAAGCACATGGGCTCAGTCCCGGGGAGCGCACCCACCGCTCGCTCTGCTGTGAGCGGCAGCAGCTCTCTCCAGGAAACTCCCAGAGAAGGAGACCAGAGCTCAGAGAGACTTAACAATAATGTCCCAAAACAAGACAAGTGAAAGAGACGTGACTCCAACAAGCCAAATGAAGTGCGAGCAGACGCCCACAGGTCATTTCTGCACGCATTGTCCACACAGAACTCAGACGTGGGAAGATCACTGGATATTACTACAGCACCTGGAAACATCTGACTATTCCGATCAAAATAAAAAAACAAAAACAACTTCCTCAAAACCCTCCTCTAAATCCCCAATTACTGTCTGTCAGAGGCATGGGGAAATGGAACCAAGGATATTAGCCCGAAGGTCATCTGAACAGATTAGTGTTGGAGTGAAACTTAAGAACTGCGTGGAGGTCTTATTACCATAAAATATAAACATCCGACCTAGAAGGACACAAAAACAATTTGTTTCACGCACATCATTTCACACATATCCTGAATATTAGCAGTGAAAAACAAAAAAGGCCCCACCCCTAGGTAAATTTAAGTGAAGCATTGTGACCCCTGACTCTCGCCACAAGGACACAAAGACCACCTCTCCCACCGCTGAGGGCCTCCTGCTCGCCAACAGCCTGTGTGCGTGGCCTCCACCCACCCACCTTTCCACGATGGACGGGGAACCTGTGCACCCACAGGTGAACAGGAAGCACACAGGAGCACCCCTGCTCCGGGTCCTGTGCCTCTAGGCCACCACAGTCATTGTCAGCCCTTCCCGGCCCAGGACCCCCCGAGGGAGGCCTGGCTGGACCTGCCTCCACCACGGGGCAGGGTGTCAGTGCCCCCTCCAGAACGATGCCCCCTGAGCCCTCCACTGCAGCAGCTCATGAACCCGGCGCTGGCGGACACCAAGCACACTCTACCATCTTCAGTTACTTACAGCACGACAGAAATCTTTACACAAACCTTTGTGAACATTTTTACACCCTTTGAATTCAGAATGGAAAGTGAACCTCAAATATCCTGAAAATGACAAGCAGTTTGGCATCACTCCTCCCACAATTTAAAAAACAACCAAAACCAAGGTGAAGTGATCACGGCCCAGAGTTTAACATCTGAATCAAATCAGAAATAAAATATCACAATCCATTTCAATGTAGAATTTCCCATGAGAATTATTCTGTTAATCCTCACAACATCCCTAAAAGATCCCTGGAAGGCAGCTGTATTATTTTTCTTTTTCTCCCCAAACTTTCACTTGTTTTTACAAAAGAGAAAAATGAGTCCTCACAGGCTCAATGATGGCACCCAAGAAGTAAGTGGGGCCATCATCAGTGCAGAAGTGCCTCCCCTTGGCAGCGGTCCTCATGGTCAGTGAGCATAATTTTTTGGGAAGGGACTCAAAAGCTTTTTTTTTCAACTGTGGTAAAATATACGTAACATAAATTATCATCTTAACCATTCTTAAGGGTACAGCTCAGTGGCATTAAGCACAGTGACATTGTTGTGCAACCATCACCACCATCCATCTCCAGAACTTTCCACCTTTCTAAACTGAAACTCTGTCCTCATTAAACACTCACTCCCCATCCCCCAGCCCCTGGCACCCACCACCCTACTTTTCTGTCTCTACAGACTTGAAGACTCTGGGGACCTCAGGTAGGCAGAATCACACAGGATTTGTCTTTTTGTGACCGACTTATCTCATTCAGCATGATGCCTTCAACATTCATCCATGTGGTAGCACATGTCAGGATTCCTTCCTTTTTAAGGCTGAATAATGTACCATTGTGTGGACGGACTACAGTTTTCTTATTTATTCATCCATCAATGGACACTTGACTTGTTCCCACCTTTTTGCTGTTGTGAATAATTCTGCTGTGAACACGGGTGTGCAAATATCTCTGCAAGACTCTGCTTTCACTTCTTTTGAGGAGAGACCCAGAAATGGAATTGCTGGATTATACAGTAGCTCAATTTTTAATGTTTTAAGGAAGCGCCATACTGTTTTCCACAGCAGCTTCACCATTTCGCATTCCCACCAAAAGTGCACAAGGTCCAATTTCTCCATATCCTCACCATCACTTATTTTCGTCCTTTTGAGAGTAGCCATCCTGATGGATATGAGGCGGTGTCTCACTGCAGTTCTGATTTGCATTTCCCTAATGATCAGTGATGTCGAGCACCTTTTCACGTGCTTTTGGCCATCTGTATGTCTTCCTTAGAAAAATGTCTATTGAAGTCCTTTGCCCATTTTTTAACTGGGCTGTTTGTTTTTCTGTTGCTGAGTTGGAGTTCTCTATGTATTCTGGAAACTAGACCCTTATCAGATATATGATTTTGCAAATATTTTCTCCCTATAATTTTTTTTAAATTATTCTTTATTAAAATAAGTATTTTCCCTATAAAAGATATTCATGTGGTACTGTGATCAGCATTCTCTTTGAAATTGAATGGAAACTATGGAATCACCACAAAGTGGCTCATATTGGGAGACAGATACTTATATAAAATGAACACAATTTGTTACCGCCCAAGAGGGGGATCATCCTCTGCTCACTGCAAGACACGCCAATAGTCCAGAGGCAAAGTGGTAGGAGAGAAAGGACTATTTTTTACAGCTTACTAGCAACGGGGAAGATAGCTGACAAATGTCCAAAAGAACCATCTTCTCTCCCCATAATTTCTAAAAGAAGTTTTCATTGAGGAATTAAAACACATACCTAAATTCTGCCGAAATTCAGACTTAAGTCCGATTTGAAGCAGCTGGTTTTCAAACAACACCCCGTTATTTTTACAGACAAACCTAGGGGAAAAGGGACATGTGAATCACTCAAAGCCACCTACTGAAAATAAAGATTTTGAAAAAGAGATTAACAAACACTAAGGCCCGAAAAACCTCCACTGGAGATGAGGGAAGGAAAAAATAGTAAAATATTGCAAAGCACACCATGAAGAGCGCCCACTGGAGACGGAGGGTGAGCAGGGAGCAGTGACACGGGCACACCAAGGCGTGAGCACGTGAGATGGGTCGGAACTCTGCTTTCCATCAGAGTGCTGGTCAAGAATTAATGGCAGGACACAGGAACCAAGGCACCTGCCCACACTTCCAGGTCAGACCACAGGCTCTTCCATCGGACAGCAGGCAATGGCCTCAATCCTGCGATCAGCATCCCACCCCGGGCTATGTGCAGGCCTCGTGTACTCACACCCAGGCGGCCCACCCCTCGGCAACTCAGCACTCTGCTTCCCTCCCGTCTCCTCTCCTCCTCTGCCGTCCTCTCCTCAGGGCAGGGTCAGTGTCTGTACTGCACAGGGGCCCAGGGTTTTGCTCACTACATGGTCTCTACACTACACAGAATTAGAGGAAAATAAATAACGTGCTAGTTTTTACTTGTATGTACCTCAGAGGAGCTGAAAGTGGTCGGGCCTCCTCTAACATAAATCACAATTACACAGCAAATTGGGACCAAAAAAGGGAAGAGGGAGTGGGGCGGGTGCCACACCACGTGGATGCAGCAGGAGCTAGCCACTCTAGGGGCCAGCCGCACTCTGCAGCTCCTCCGCCAGCATGTGAAGGAGAAGGCGCGGTCCAGAGTGGGGGGTGGGCTGGCTCTCCACGTGGAGCCCCCCACAGGCACATGGGCAGGGAGGGCCTGACAGACAGACACTCCGCAGAAGCAGCCCCCACCTCGAAATCTCCCAGTCCAGTTGTATGGTAGGCTGGAGAAGCTCAAAGCCAGTGATTCCTGCACTCATCCTATCTTGTCCAAATTTTACTGCTGGTGCCCACCCACAGAGGTTCAAGTGTTGCTTACTTGCGTATAAGATCATCAGCATCGTGCACAGTCTCAGCTGGTCTCTCAGAAACTACCTCAGTTGAAGCCAGGTCAGGCTAATTCAAGCAGCACAGAAGGAGAGGAAGCAGCAGCAGAGATGGCAAGAGGTGTGGTCAGCACGGAGAGAGAGCTGAGCCAGGCTCCACCCTCTGTGTCCACTCACTGCAGCACAGAGCCCTGCTCCCCACGCGGCCCCAACAGACCACCAAGGCCCACAGCTGCCCCTCCCCCTCGTCCAGTCCTCCAGGCCTCAACACAAGAGGCCCTCTACCCAGCCTGAGCTATGCCTGAAGTTTCACAAAATAACACACAGTGCAGGCACTGTGCACAACCTTCTTCCAAAACCTGAGAACGTGCCCAGCCACGTTTTCCAAAATCGATCACAGGGACCCAGGTGCTCCCAGGACTCTCACGGAACAGAGAGGAGACTTGACCAAGGTGGCTGAGCCTGAAGCCACACAGCCACAGAGTCGCTGCCCCGCCCAATCCGACTCAGACCTGCAGAAGGAGCAGCCCGCTGTGCCCCACCTTCCGGACACAAGGCCACACAGCCTACGTACCACAGTTGGTTTGGACTAAGCCACTTTAAATTGACCTTTGTCAAGGAAATGGGAAAGGCACTGAATCATCCCCTACAAAGTGACAGAAATAACACAACAGTCAATGTCCAGTTAGCTGGTCATTTTTTCAAAGCGTCATCTCAACCAAAACTTGATCCTGTGGAATTTATGGGCTAATAAAGACCACTTTGGAAAGCCTAGGAGAGTGCAAACCTTGCTATACCTGAGCTGTGGGCAGCATGAACTGTGCGTGCCCAGGAGCGCTCTGCACCTCCACCTCACCAAATCCACATCAGATACCTAATAACCCTTTGCAGCCATGTCAAGGCACAGACAGCCAAACTCTCACACACCTGCTGGAGCACCTGGAACAGGGTGAGTTGCCCATGAGATGGCGACGTGGCCTCGCGTTACAGCCAACTGCCTGCCCACTCGTGCCTTCCACTCACTGGTGCCTTCCACCGTCCCAAGAGGACCCTCAAGGGTTGCCTGGAGAGCTGCAGAAATGCCCCTGCCTGAGCCCAGCGACCAAGGAGGCCTGTGGCCCAGCCACTGCATGTTCCCAAAGCTCCCAGGGCCTGCAGACACAGCAAGGGCTAAGAACGCTGAATGAAGCTGCTGCCCCAGACCACCACCCAGACCAAGACATCCAGCTAGGAGCCCGGCACTCTCCCCAGGACACGTACTGCTTCGCAGCGCAAGTGCCTGCGACCTGGAGTCTGTGGTGCTTTTCAGCCTCAAAGTGAGCACTTCTAAAAGGAGCAAGAAGTCTGTTTTCAGCCAGAGATGGGCAATTCGCACCAGCCTAAGCCTGCCTTTCCTCAGTCATTTTCAGCAAGTAACAGGAAATAAGAATCAGCATGCACTATGCACACAAAGAAATTGGAAAAACTGTAAAACCACAAGAATTCTGCTACTGTCACAACAACCAAAGACAAGGAGCCATTCCTCGAAGACTCTCCACTCAGAAGAGGAGCCCTCTCATACCTCCTGGGCAGATTTAACATCAGCAGAGACAGATGAGGGACAGAGAGCAGGAAGGAAAAAGGCACAGAATCTGCAGACCAAAAAAACAGGAAAGAAAACGTGCTGGGAAGAGCATTTTGACGGTTACATTTTGAAAATGGGGGAGGAGGGGCAACAACAACCACGCGGAAAGCCGGGCTTGGCACCCAGCACGTGCGCAAGCATCTCGATGGAGTCAAAGCCATGCGCTCGGAGCTGGTCACAGGGCAGGGAGAAGCACACCTGGGAACACAGATTTTATGGGACAAAGCAGCGATTATGCAACTGGAGAATGTTTCTTTAAAAAAAAGGCTGATTAGCTGGAAGGCAGATAGGAGAGCGATTTAAGTAAGAGTTGAAAGCAGCTTGGTTAAGAGGAAAAGTGGTGAAGAAAGAAAAAAGAAACATGGCTGCAGAGAGAATTAAACATCCTGAAAAGAAGAAACAGCTGAAACAACACAACGAAATGTCAGCACGCACAAGAGACACAACTGAGAACCAGCCCAGGTGGCTTTTTTACCTGATTTTCTTCTCTTTGAGAAGGTTAGCTATCTTTATCTAGTGGAAACTGATAGTCCACGACTCATGGGGGAAGTCACAGAGCAAACCCACACGAGCATGGCAGGCCCCTCCCCTCTGCCGGCCAGCGACCTGGAATAAGGACCACAGCCCACTCCTGCAGCTGGCCGCCGGCGGAGGGCCTGGGCAAAGGGGGAGGAGCAGAGGGGGTTCCGAGTAGGAAGTCGGGGTGGAGGGAGTCCCTGTCTTCAGGACAGGGAGACCCACTACCTGGCAAAGTTGTCCTCGGAGCCGGGAGCAAGAGGCGCAACTGCGGAGGGTGAGTCTGAGAACACGTCCACAAGCAGCCCGCCGGAGGAGGGTGGGGGGCCCACAGGGGCAGGTGGTGCGGCCCCCAGACCCAGGAGGTCTGCCGAAGGAGAAGGCGTGGACTGGAAAACAGGGAAGGAGAGGGTCAGTGCAGAACCTTCCAGGCATGCTGCCGCCAAGCAAGCACAAGCCCTCCTCCACGACCCATAGGTCCCAGGCCGCTGGACTGTGCAAGGGCCCGGTGAGTGAGGGGCATGACCACTTCTGATGTGCAGCTGCTCCCCAGAGTCAGGTCTGAAGGTCATCATACTTGCAAGTTTATCACAATCTCACACGACTGGAAAAATAGTCAATCTTTTCTCACGAATGTTATTTGAGTGAAAAAAAGTAGTATAGAAACTTCTGCCATGAAAGAAAGAGATCAAATAGAAAGGTCTGATTTAAGACATGACACCATGAACTTTGCTGAAAACCATCCAAAAAGAGAGTAAGTTTGAAGAGATGAAACGCAAGTAACTTACTACGGTTCATTTTTAGTTTAACCATTGTCACGTTTTATTGAGTTACGGAGAAAAAGTAAATAACGAGCCTACAGAACAGACATTTTAAAAAAAAATAATAGCTTTCTGATCCTAGGCACAAGACAAAGAACAGAGCCACTCGGAAATCACTCTCAAACCCACACAGTGAGACCCACACAGCAGAGCTCCTCCCACACTTGTTCCCCAAAACCAAACAGCACAGCCCCTGTGTCGTCCCCCACCCACCGTGGGAGCTCCACACAGCCGGGCCCCACAAGGGCTGCACATGTGAAGCCAAGGCATGTGCGGTTCAGCTGATCCCTAGGACTGTGCTGTAGGCAGGGACCCGGGAGGTAAGCCGCTCGCTCTCCCTTGAGAACTCATCTGCATGTCCCACTGGACGTGCACAAAGGTAAAAATCAGTTCACAATTATCTGAGGCTACATCCTAATGTCTTCTTACATTACTGTAGTCAGTATTTCCTCGGTTTTAATACACACTCATCTGTCCAGGAATGCAGCCACCCTGTGAGCTGAAGGAGGCCAAAGTACTTTCTTTCTCCAGCATGCAACACACCTGTCCTGGGTACCAGCCCTGACTGCTCCTGCCTTGCAGCACAGCCATGCTGAGTACTCACATGTGAACAACGTGTTAGTAGAAATGACTGCTTATTTCTTTTACATTACATTACACTGGATTTCTAAACAACCACATATGTCGTTGGCGACAGTATGCACGAATTCTATTTCGAGATAAGAGGTATTACAAAATCTATGTGTGCAAAGAGGGTGGGTCTGCGCAGGCTGAGAAGCTGGCTCTGCGCGGTGGCCCTCCTTCCTCTGGGCTCCAGGGGAGGCAGCGCACTGAGGCCAACCCTGCGGAGAGAAACAGACCTGCCAGTGGGGCCGGGCTGGGTTAAGGGGTTCCCAGGCAGAGTGGACAGGCTGGACTCCTCCATATGGGGAAGGCCCCAGAAAAGCGGAGGGGGCCACGGAAGAGCTGTCAAGAGAAGGAACATTGAAAATTTCTGCCACGTCAGGAAGTATCACATGACATTATCTAAAGGTGGTTCCTGGCCCTTGCTGCCCCTAGGATGGTGCTCCTGCGAACACAGCTACTCACAATACCATTTGCAACACTGCGTCATCAGGAACTCAACCACTTGGGGAGGGTTAGGAGCTGATCTCAGGTGCTCTGGAGCCTCACTGTGAATTATGCAAGCAAGGTATCTGTTGTTGCTGACACCTCTGCAGCCTGAATGGGGAACGTTTCCTCTCTGCCACCTAATGCAAGATTTTTACTACTGCTTCCTCAATAACAGCTCAAATGCTTTTTAAAGTAGGAAAACCCTTTTGTCCAATTAAGTCAAATATGCACCCCAATAGTTACAACAGACAGAAGCAAGGCTGTTCTGTTGGGAGGACCTAGCAGGAGGCCCTGCTCCCTCCCCAGACCCCACGTGCCAGCTCTGCCCTGCAGCCTGTTGGGACTCACTGCCTCTTCGCCACCTCCTCCTCCTTTCAGGACTCAGGGAGACCCACCCAGGGAGGCTGCCTGGCACCCAGTCTGCACAAGTTACACCTCTTCAGTCTGACAGCAACAACAGCAGGAATTAGAACAGCAAAAAAGCTAGAGCAGGCAGACAGTGATGTCAGCCACATGGCAGAGTGAGCTTGCCCGGGACTCCCTCCCCTCCAAATTACAACCAAAAGGAGCAACTCAATTCCAACCAAAAGAATCCTAATAACACAGAGATCATCAGAGACCACAGCAGCCAAACGACGGAGGGTGGAGAGGCTGGAGCCCCCCTCAGAGGAGCTGGAACGGGGTAAGAGAGAACTTCGCTCCCTCCCCTAGAGACTGGGATAGCTGCCGCAGGTGAGGGAAGGAGCAGGGGAGGGGCCGTGCTCCGGGGATCGTCCAGGACTCCCACCGCCAGTGCTATGGAAACCCTCTAACAGCGGAAAGCTTCAGTGTGGGGGGACCCCATCAAGCCAAGGCCCCAGGACACCAGAGAGCAAGAGCTGATGGGAATCCAGGTCGGGGTGAGAGAAAGTGCCCCTCCTCCCCCAACCCACACTGCCTGCTCCATTGCAGCTGAAAGCGGAGGGCTCAGAACACACGGCTCTCAACCCCCATCTAGTGGCGATAGGCGGTAACTGCAACCAAGTAACAGCATCATGGGCAGAAACCGCTCCTCTACCATCCAGCAATTTATAAAAGCTCCAGTCCAAAAGAAAAACAATAAAAACACAGAATTAAGTCCTGAGGACTTGGAAATAGGTAAACTAAGTGAAAATGAGTTCAAAATAGCTATCATCAAAATACTCAATGAGGTAAAGGGAAATATAGAGAAACAAGTCAACGAGTTCTGGAGTTATTTCACAAAAGAGACTGAAACTATAAAGAAGAATCAATCAGAAATACTAGAGATGAAAGATACAATGGATCAGATAAAACAGAATACGTACTCCCTGAATGCCCGTGTAGACACCACAGAGGAGCAAAGTAGCATACTCGAAGATAGACAGGCTGAACGGCTCCAGACAGAGGAAGAAAGAGAACTAAGAATTAAAAAACTGAAGAAAATCTCAGAGAAACAGCTGACTCAATGAGAAAATGCAACTCAAGAATCATCAGAATTCCTGAGGGCATGGAAAAGGAAAATGGAGGAGAAAGTGTGCTCAGTGACGTAATAGCAGAGAACTTCCCAAATCTAGGGATTGAGCAAGAAGTGTGTGTGGAGAAAGCTTTCAGATCTCCTAGACTTGTCAATACAAAAAGACCTACTCCAAGGCATATAGTAGTAAAAATGGCAAAAATGAATGACAAAGAAAGAATACTCAGGGCAGCAAGGCAGAAGAAAATAACCTACAAAGGAACCCCTATCAGACTTTCAGCGGATTTCTCTGCAGAAACCTTACAAGCTAGGAGAGATTGGAATGACATATTCAAAACTTTAAAAGATAAAAATCTTCAGCCAGGAATACTCTATCCAGCAAAAATATCCTTCAGATATGAGGGAGAAATTAAACCCTTTCCAGACAAACAAAAGCTAAGGGATTTTGTAGCCACAAGACCTCCACTACAAGAAATCCTCAAGAAGGCTCTCATACCTGAAAAAAGAAAAAAAGGGAGAAAGGGGTCACAAAATACAGAGTAGGGAGACTAACAGATAGAACCAAATAGGACAGCAAATATTCAACTACAGCATTAGGATAAAGGGAAGGAAATCACCAAAGCAAAGACAATCTTATGGCTCTAACCACAAACTCACAACACAAGTTGGAATAAGAGATGAAAATAATAATTTAGGAGGGGAGGAGGAAAGGGATTGAATCAGTTTAAGCTAAAGAAGTAAGAGGCCACCAGAAAATGGACTGTTATTCACAAGGTTCTGAATGCAAACTGCAGGGTAGCCACTAAACTAAAAAAACAGAACAGAGACAGAAAACATAAATAAGGAAAAAGCTAAAAAACCCAGCATAAGAAATTGCAGAAGTCAATGGGTAGGCTAAAACACACAGGACGAGAAACAAAGGAAACACTGGAAAATGAACAACAGAATGATAGCATTAAACCCTCATACATCAATAATCACCCTCAATGTAAACGTACTGAACTCTCCAATAAAAAGACACAGCATGGCAAGATGGATTAAAGAACAAGATCCAAAAATTTGTTGCCTCCAGGAAACACACCTCAGCTCCAAGGACAAACACAGGCTCAGAGTGAAGGGGTGGAAGACAATACTCCAAGCTAATAGCAAACAAAAGAAAGCAGGTGTCACAAGACTTATATCAGACAAAACAGACTTCAAGATAAGGCAGGTAAAGAGAGACATAGAAGGCCAATACATAATGATCAAAGGGACACTTCATCAGGAAGAAATAACGCTTATAAACATCTGTGCACCCAACACAGGAGCACCAAAGTTCATAAAGCAACTATTAACAAACCTAAAAGAAGATATCAAAAATAACACAATAATAGTAGGGGACCTCAACACCCCACTCACATCAATTGACAGATCATCCAGACAGAAAATCAACAAGGAAACAGTGGAGCTAAACGAAAAGCTAAAACAGTTGGACTTAATAGACATATATAGAACACTTCACCCAAAAACTGCAGAATACACATTCCTCTTGTCAAGCGGGCATGGGACATTCTCAAGCATAGACCATATGTTGGGAAACAAGGCAAGCCTCTACAAATTTAAAAAAATTGAAATAATAACAAGCATCTTCTCCGCTCAAAATGCTATAAAGCTAGAAATTAATTACAAGAAAAAAGCTGAGAAAGGCACAAAGATGTGGAGACTAAACAACACACTACTGAACAAGCAATGGATCATTGAAGAAATTAAAGAAGAAATAAAAAAATACCTGGAGACAAATGAAAATGATAGCATGCCATACCAATTCATATGGGATACAGCAAAAGCTGTATTAAGAGGGAAATTTATCACAATACAGGCACATCTTAACAAACAAGAAAAATCCCAAATCAGCAACCTTAAAGTACATCTAACTGAATTAAAGAAAGAAGAACAAACAAAGCCCAAAGTCAGCAGAAGGAGAGAAATAATAAAAATCAGA